TTATTCTTTTAGCTACACAGCCACTACACCACCTGGTTTGTGTACTATCACGTTAGTCACCAGTGTTCAACCATGCCATGTGCTGGTCGTGTGCTCTGCCATGTTAGAACATTTGTGAGGTTACCGTTTCTATTAATTTTGAGCTCTTTGCTCTAATTTTGGAATCTATTTCTGCTAAGTATGCATCTAACTTGTTTTCTGGGGCTAGTTTTACATATAACAAGACTGTCTCCACTCCCTTGGAGCCTAATAACTAAACTTAGTTCGATTGATGGTACTCATCTTATTGATTCTTCTTTATATTGTCAATTAGTTAAGAGTTTAGTTTATCTCACAATAACTCGGCTTAAAATTGTTTATAGTATTTATTTAGTTAATCAATTTATAATTACTTCTCGTTCATCTCATTTTCAGTTATTTTGAATATTCTCATTATATTAAAGGCACATTTTTTTATAGGCCTCATTTTTGTACACACTCTTTTCTAATTTAATTAAGATATTTTGATACTAACTGAGTAGATGATCTTACAAATCATCAATCAACCACTAATTATTGGCTCTTTTTGGCCAATTCTCCCATCTCCTAGCAAAGCAAGAAACAAACTATGCTTGTCCATTCTAGTAGTAAGCCTGAATATTATGCTCTTTTGGATGCTAATTTAGAGTTACTCTAGTGTTGTCTATTACTTGAGGATATGGGCATTGCCTAATCATTTGCCATTGTTCTTCGCTGCGATAATCGTAACGCTATTCAAATTGTTCACAATGATGCATTTCATGAGCCCACCAAGTATATTGAGATTGATTACCATTTTATGCATTCATCATATGACTCAAAGGGACTCTTCATCTGACTTCTGTGACCACTTCAAATCATGTTGCTAATATCTTTACCAAGGCTTGTTTTCCTAGTTGATTTCAAGAGTTAGTTTCCAAATTCAAGTTGGAATCTACCATTCCACTTTAGTTTAAGTGATGTATCAACATAATTATAACAATCGTACAGATTATAGACTAAATTAATGTGATTTTGTTAAATTATGGTACGATTACGGTGTTGTTGATTACAATTAAGATATTATTAACTTGATCTCTCCTAAATAATTGAGAATTCTTTGGGTATAAATTCGTCATTAATCTCCTTATAAAACACATAATTCATAATATGAATTTTATTTTTGTAATAACTTTTAAATTGATTAGTTTTCATTTTTAATCTACAGATTAATCATAGTATTGATAGACATCTTTCAATATAGTACCTAAAAAAGCTTTTAAACTATTTTAAAAAATTTAAATAAGTTTTTATTCTTTTATTACATTCAATCAAACTCATATACTTTTATTTAAGTCAAATAAGTTTTTATACTTTTATTTTGAGCTAAATAATCCTTATGACTAATAGTTCACTTAGTCAAAATTTTAGTTGTCTTTTTATGTCACGTGAAGCTAACATGATATGCTGGTATATCATAATTGATTATGATATAACATACTGATATATCATAATTGATAATAATATGATATCTTAACATGAAATGATGATATGATTATGAGATATTTTTCATTTTTTCCATAAATGTCACGTCAGTGTCATGTGATTATTAAAAAATAAGTGACATTTTGATCAATGACAATTAATCAACTATTAACCATAAATGTTTTTCTTTTAATTGGGAGAGAAGGGATTCAAACCTTACTCTCTAGATAAGAGATTATGTACCAACCAATGAGGTAAATACTCGAGTGCAACTATTAACTATAAAAGTTTATTTAACTATAAAAGTTTATTTAACTCAAAAATAAAAATACAAAGACTTCATTGAACGTAATAATAAAATAAAGACTTATTTAAATTTTTTTAAATAATATAGGAGTTTTTTTGAGAGCATTATGCAACAATTTTTTTCAAAAAAAAATGATAATTCTTTGAATGGACAGACGACGCCATGGTTATTGCAGGTGCTCAATAATTTACCACAATACTAGTCTTGCTTTATCTCAAGACCTTACCTTAACTTCCATTTCTGATTTTGATTGTTGTGGTTCATATCGCAGTGGCAATCTTTGTCCAAACCTCTCTACCTACCCTCAAATTTATTCATCCAAATCGCCCAACATATCCATTTAACCTATTTAATAAAAAATTAATAACAAGTGAAAATTAATTAAAACAATAAAAGAATTACAAAAAAAAAAAACATCTTTAATGTGGTGATACCAAACTTCTTGATGACAAGGATTGACATTCCTTACAAATTATATGATCAACCATAAATTATACCTTAATTATACTTTGTTTCTGCTGGTTTTCTTAGTTTTTATCCTATTATAGATTATCATGTTGTTTACACATTTTTAGAAAATCATACCTTATACTAACTCACAAACAACCCAAATAGTTCATAGGCTACATCACATCATATGCATTTGAATAACTTTTGTCCTATGATATGATTTTGATGTATTATCTAATTCATAACTACACTATTTTAATAAAAGAAAGTTCCAAATTCAAATTCTTGTTGGTATAGAATAAATTGAAATTAAATACGTTAATGTTGGATATCTCAGAAAAAGAATGTTCATATTGATATTGGATTCGCCAAATTGCATAATCCTTTTAGTTATTTTTAGGTTAAATGCTCAATATAAGTTCATCAAATGCTTCATTTTTGAATTCAATCTATGTAATTTTTCTTTTAAATTAGGATGCAAAAATTTTTTATTTTATTTATTTCAAAGGAATTGAAGACAAAATGTAATTGTTAATAGGACTAACGATATGAATTTATATTTGTTAAACGTAACCTCACATGGCAATCGGTAATTGTATTAATGATAAGGGTATAATGCTTGAAAAATCATTGAATTATTTTAAAAAATTTAAATAAACTTTTATTCTTCTATTACATTCAACCAAGTTTATATATTTTTATTTTTAAGCCAAATATGTTCTTATGACTAGTAGTTGATTAATTGTCATTAGTCAAAATATCATTTGTCAATTTTATATCCATGTGACACTAACGTGATGTGAAGAGTGAAAATGACACATACTCATATGATCATGTCAAATCATTATTCATGAGATGATTGATAACTCTATTATATAGAGTTATTTTGACTCATTTTGAGAGCTTAAGTAGCTAAATCTTTTAGATTTTAGGTTCAAATTTTAGCATTTTAGGTGTGTTTTTAGTTTAAGTTTGATTACTTGTTAAGCAATTAATTTAAGTTATTTTAGTTAAATTTTAGGTTATTTTATTTT